AAACATTAGGGGATTTTGGTAATTACAAATATATGGGGGTATTTTTCTTAATTTAGCCTAAGTTCAGGTGGTTTTCATAAATTATCCTTGTTAATATACAACTTAAACTTATTTACACGTATGACCATATGTTAGAAAATAACATAAATGTTGATACTATTGAAAATAGATCAAATTTCAAGTAAACAAAAGTCACTATAAAATGCTTATATAAATAAAAAATGAAAAAATAAAATTAATTGATATTTTAAATATATAGAATATATAGTATATACGATCATTATACATTTTAAACAAAACAATTGATATTCTCAATGTTTGGTATTAGATAAAGTGAATAGAGGAATTTAATACCAAAGATTTAGAATAACTTTGTTATATTTTGAAATATATAAAATCAATTCATTTTTTTTTTTTGTCAATTCGTTATTCAATTTATTAGAATAATCATGATAAAGTTTGTATTTTAATTAGTATATACCATAAAAAGCTAAATCAATCGTAAAATTTATTGTCACTGGATTCAGTGAAGAAAAAATAATTGTTTAAATAATAAATGAAATTCATGTTGTATAATTTCCAATATGTTAAATAATGGGGAATACATTACTCTATACGTGACAGAAAAAAATAGTGTTTCGAAATATTGTAAATTCGAACATGTATATTTTATTTTACAGATAATATTAATATATAATATTAAATTAGTAAAAAAAATCATATTCTCTAGTCATGTTCATGTAAAATTTATCATATCAAATAATTTATTTTTCTATATTTTGTTAATATAAATCCAAGTTTATGAATTAAAATATAAAACTTCCGTAACACCACCAATCATGCAATTATAATAACGGAATATTTTAAATTAAATTTAACTAAATTGAAATTAAATTAATTATAAAATTAAATCAAAAAAATAAATTTATTTAGAGTTTCCAAGAAAGTTGATATATTTAAACCATTTTATAAATGGTAGGATATAAATAGGGATAATTACACTTTTGGTCCCTCATGTTTGGCCCGATTTCACTTTTGGTCCCCCTTGTTCAAAAGTGAACAAAGTTCACCTCCAAGTTTCAATTTTAAACACTTTTGATCCCCGCCGTTACACATCCGTTAGCAAGTAACGGAAAACACTATTTTGGGGTGAAATTGAAATTTTAAAATCTTTAGGGGCTGAAAATAATTATAAATTTAAAACAGACTACTTAATTTTTAATAATAAAAAAAAGAAATCAAAGAAACAAATTATTTTTTAATATACTTCATATTATTATAATTATACTAATAATTATTTTTTTTAAATAAAAAAATTAACTCAACAAATTATTTTAATCATACTTAATATTATTTTTAATTATACTACTTATGATAAAAAAATTGATAACAAAAAAATAAATTAACTAAAAAAATTATTTTTATTTATACTTAATATTATTATAATTGTACTACTTATAATTATTTTTTTTTAAATAAAAAACAAATTAACTAAACAAGTTTTAAAGTTAACTAATAAAACAAATTAACTAATAAATTTCATTATACTTAATATTATTAAAATTTTAATTATAAGTAGTCTATTTTAAATTTCTAATTATTTTTCAGCCCCAAAATATTTAAAATTTTAATTTTCGCCCCAAAATAGTGTTTTCTGTTACTTGCTAACGGACATGTAACGGCGTGGACCAAAAGTGTTCAAAATCGGAACTTGGAGGTGAACTTTGTTCACTTTGAAACAAGGGGGACCAAAAGTGAAATCGGGCCAAACATGAGGGACCAAAAGTGTAATTATCCCGATATAAATATATTAATAAAATAATTAAATATATTTAATCATCTTTAATTTTGGCAAATGATGACATGTTTTTTGATGATTTATTTCCACCAATCAATTCGCCACTTAGGATGAAACTGAGGACATGTCACCAATTGAAATTGCCAAATGTCAATCAATTAGGTGTGGAATTCAACTTTTATATATTATATAGATTATAACAATAAAATAAAATAAAGTAAGAAATTCAGCACTCATTTTGAAAAGAAAAAAAAAATCTGCCACAATTCCAAATAGATTTGAACAATACAACAAATAATTGATAATTTACTAGCAACAAAAATCCCTTCTCAATTCACCATAAATCCGAATTTAACCTAATATATATTAAAATTTAAAATTTGTGGTGTAATATAATAATTGAAATAATGAAAAAATAATTACCTCAAAAACCTTCTGATATTAAGCAAAATTAACCTACGACAATTGAAATCAAAATCAACAAACTTGACATTAAAAAAAAGGGTAAATTCCACTTTACCCCCTCGTACTTTGCCTGAGAGTCACTTTACCCCCTCGTACTCTCAATTTTATCGATTTACCCCCTTATACTTGTACAATTTCCCAATACAACCCTTTCCTTCATTTTTTGTCAATTTTGACTCTAACGCCATTTGGTCAACTCTGTAAATTACAAAACGCGTCGTTTCTTCTCCGTCAATATTGTCATTTCTTCGTCTCCCACCACTTCCCCTTCCAAGATATCCCAAAATTGAACCCCTAACTTAGTAAAAATCAAGACCCAAAAATTGATCGATTCCACCAAGTGTAAAGAAAAAAATATATGAATGTGTGAAACTTTCTATTTTCTAATCTCGAGAGTCAAAATCGAAAAAATTCAATATTTACGTCAATATTTTGACTCTTGACCAAATGGCGTCAGAGTCAAAATCGAAAAAAGTTGACGAAGAGGGTTGTATTGGGAAATTGTACAATTACAAGGGGGTAAATCGACGAAATTAAGAGTACGAGGGGGTAAAGTGGTTCTTGGGCAGAGTACAAGGGGGTAAAGTGGAATTTACCCTAAAAAAAATAACAATTAGCAAAAAAGGAGGCGAGCTTTCGGTTGGGAAGGAGCAGGCAGGGTGAGTCTGCTGAAAAATCAACCCCCAACATATACAAAATCGCCACTTATAATAACCGTTTATTTAAATAAATCAATGGTCATTAAGACGAGCAACCATGAATGATGCTTTTGATCGTTTGGCTGGTCAAAGAAGCGTCAAATCAAATCCCGCATCTTAAGAGCCGTTTGATCTTCAAATTCAAACATAATCATCGATTGATCTGACAAAATTGGAGATGAGACCGTTGATCAAAATTCAATACGAAGGTTCTTAAGAGGCGTCACTGTGACTGACGCATTATCTTATATATGAAAAAAGTTCTCCAAATACCCCATTTTTTAAGAAAACAAATTGTCCAGATGGCCTAGAAAAAAAAAAGTGTGTCCCTACATTTTGATGACTTAAAAAAATTTAGCTTATTTTTAAGGACTTAATCTCATGAATTTCGTGAATGCGACCACATAAACATCCGAACCGAGTCCTTTCTAACCCTAGTATGCGTCGAAGTTCCAAACTATATTCACATCATCAAAATTGCAACCCGTAAGATTATAAATTTGTCTCATCTTAATAATTTTAGCCAATACAAATCATAACACAGATACAGTCGAACAATACAAACCTAAACTTAGTAATTTTTTTTTTTTTTTTGGATAATTGTAAACTTAAGGCCCCGTTTGGTTGCTAAGATAAGCCATGATTAACTAAATAGTTGGACTTAATTTGATGTTTGGTATCCTCAATAACTTGCCGGGTCGACCCGCCAAAATTAAATAATCATGACTTATCTTGGCTTATCTTGCCTCTTAATGAGTTTTTTTTGTTGGACCTTTCAAGCTCCAATAAAATAATTGGGTCTCATTAGATTATTTAATCTTATCTTGGCTACTCTTATCTTGTCAACCAAACGGGGTTTAACAACATACAAACCTTAGATCTAAATATTTAATTATTATATTTTATTAAACTTATTAAAATATTAATTTTCATAATTTACTCTATATGAACTGAGTTTACTTTAAAATCACATACTAACTTTATTTCATCCACACTTTCAACATTTATTTATTTAATTGTACAGAATATTAGCTTTTCAAATTCATATTAAAAAAAAAATTGAAGACCACAATTTTTCCCAAAAAAGTTTTAGAATCTTTTTATTAGTATATTTAAAATTTTAAAAATTATTAACCACTAACCATTTCTAGAAGAACACTTTACCTGACAAGTCCCATGGCTAATATTCCGATCACTAGTAGATTTTTTAAAATTGGTTTAAAATTCGAACATGCAAGCCAAATTTTAATTCCCCTTTCTAAGTTCATGAAATTTTTTGACATGAAATTCCTCACGATTTCTAAAGAGCATTCCAAAATTTCCTATTTAATTTCTTTCAATATCATCTTTTAGAAATCTTAGATCTTAACATGCAAACCAAGAGTTCTCATATTTCTAAACAGTTCACTGCATTTTACACAAATATAAATACACACTAATTTTTTATCAGGAAACTTTCAAAATTTCGCAGATCTTTTGAACCGCATGAACTCACCCCACAATGCAGTCAAGAAATCAAAATATCTTACCTTGGGGTTGTATAAAAGCTTTACAAGATTAATAAAATTCAAAGTAAACTTTGAGGAAGAGAAACAGCTTCATGCAACGCTAACTGACACTTATTTGTTGATTTTTCTGCTTCTCGTATTATTGTTTTGAGAGGGTCCTTAAAGAATTTGAGACAGTATATCATATTCCTCCAAATCCAACAGATCAATATGACAACATGAGTTTACCTTTAATTCTTTACAATTAAAAGTACTTTAATTATATAAGGAACAAATTAGAACTTTCAAACAAGATGCAGCATATTGTCATTGGACCGCCCATTTTGCAATGGAACCAAGGGGCTAAAGTTGATTATCAATCAAGCCTAATGGAAGGTGCAATTAGACCCAAGATTAGAGATCCTTAGAGGATTCGAGAAGATCTTCTAGAATCTTCCTATTAATGTAAACATCCATTAGATCAAATTGATCACCACCGCGGTTTCCTGAGAGATTGATTTGTATAAATAGGCATATTCATTTGTAAGAATCCAATCAATAAACTCTTCCTTACTATCATCCAACCTTGTTCTTTCAACACTTGCACCAAGTCAGTGACAATATGTTAACAAAATGCACCACAAACCAGAGAAGAAAAGGATCAGACTATATTATTCCGTCAAATTTGAACTACAATTCAAGTATGTACAAATTCAAAAGAAAGTAAACCATCACAGTACAGCAGTAAGGCAAGCCATTTCTCTTGCTCTCTTGCTCCCGTTAGTTGTGTCAAAACTAAGTTCACTACTGCTATACTTTTTCGGTTTCAACCAGTAAAAAATTCAAGTCCGAAAATGTGAGATCACCGACCAATCTACAAAGGCTCTCTATACATCATATACAGGTAACCGCTCTTCAATAGATAGTCGACAAATCGGGCATTTCCTACATTTATCCGAGCAGGAGCTGTACCACATTATTAAAACACAGTTAGTATAATGTGATTAAAGAATATCTATGCAAGGTTAATAAAAAAGTGAAGAAATCACAGTTGTAGTTGTACCTGCAAAGAATGCGATGCCTACAAGGAAGAAGCACAATGCTAATCTCCCCCTCGAAGCAAACTCTACACAAAATCTTGTCCTGACGTTGAAACAAATATGGTTGAAATTAAAAAGACTATTCCATCATAAAGAATGCGTTAAAATCTACCTTTCTAGTTCACATTAAACACACAAAAAATATGGCAAGTTGATGTAAATGGTAGTTTACTTTACTACCAAAGATTAACCGAGTATGTGCCCTCGCCCATGACTTCCTCGTTTTAATAGGATGTTTCTTTATAGAACAATTGTTTCTTCTGAACAAATAAAACTAAATAGAAACGAATGCATAAATTTAGCAAAAGACAATGGAATACAACATGATAAATTGGGTATGCAGTAAAGTAAATACTTTACTGTGCCCGTTCCATGTGCCCGTTCCATGAAAGTTTGGTATCCATTATTGGCAAATTACACAAATACCTATACAAAGCCAGACACACAAAAACATGGATAAATATATTCATTATTGCTCGATCAAAATTAAGAAGCTTACATGTTGAAGCCTCTCATACTCCTGCTGACTGAATTTGGTAATTTCTGTTTGCTCACCAAGTGCTGCTTGAAGTCTCCAAACCTAATAACAAGAAAATTAAAAAAAAATGGTAGAAATCCGTTACCATATCCTGTGGTTAGGAGAAAAAAGAAAAAGAAAAAGAGAATGTGACTAAAGAATGAGATTTACCTCCTCAGCCAGATCCTTCTTCGGCATTTTCTTCACTATCTCAGGTGGATAGCCAGAAAAAGTGTTATAACTGAGTCAAAATTACAGTAATAATCGGCTTGTTAGATCATCTCACATAATCAATTCTAAACTTCGATAGATTTAATAAATCAATTCTACATACAACATGACTCCGGTAACTTATGATAATGTTTAAAACAGAGCAAGACTTCCTAACACTAGATTAAAAAGATTTTTCCTTTGTGGTATTGCAAATACTTAGAAAAGAAGTTACATATTTATCATATTAATTTCTTATATAAAAGAACATACGGGATCTTAGTTGATTGTGGACAACTCTTCTAAATTTTTCTTTGCATAAAAAGATAAGAACTTAAAGAAGGTTGTACATTGACTTTATCATAATTTTACAGCCTCAATCCTGTGTGACCAGAAGATTTTTGTAGTCGTATTCTACTCCCTTTTTGTTTTCCTATTCGTAGTTAAGTGTCTCTTCACATAAATTACCCATGCTGGTAACAGAGCAGAATACCAAACAATTATCGAGTTTCGACTACATTAATGTGAGACTGAAATTGAAGCGCAGTAGGGCACGTATATTGCAGACACATGGATGTGGAGAAGGCGAACTGTTAAAACGGGCACACGGAAACGATATATCCCAAGAAATAGGATAGAGGTACATGGGAAAATGTGTATATAGAGAAGAGGTATATTGATATTTATAAACTATTAATATGTAAATATTTTTATTTATTCATAGATTATAGTTCTTTCATATATTTTCATATAAATTTATTCAGATAAATAATACAATCAACTGTCAATTAGCAATTGATTATCAAATCACATAATATATTAATGAAGCAACAAAAAGGTTTGGGGATTTGCTTCTCAAGTGTGTTTCTCATCTTTTGGAAATTACAAATGGCCCAAAAAGTTTATGAAACATTAAGAAGTTGCCATGTCGATGCAACAAACAAGGGCACTTAAACAAGTAGAAGATGGGTAGATACCATTTCAAGATTTTCAAGTGATCATGTAAAAAGTCGTACCTGGAAGATCCATCCTGGAACAACCGGGCCTGCTCTTCTCTGCTTGTTTCATCAATAGACCACCAGCCTAGCAGCCTAACGAGTAAAAGTTACAAGAAATACGTTAGTTAAGAGCAAGAAACATCTCCACAAGACATGTTCGTAGATGCCAACCGACTATGTATTACGTAATAGCATGTCATTAAACATTACCTAGATCCATGGTGCAGAAAACCAAAGCAGTCACGGATTCTGGAAGAGTAAACAAAATAAACTCCTCCACTTGCATCGCTTTGTAGTAAAAGAACAATTTTCTCAATCAATCTGGACGTAGTAAGCAAAACGGCAGCTCCTTGCACCAGAAAAATAGGAGAAAAGAGAACTGGAATGGGAATATTTCTAGCACCTGATGGCGTGCCCTAATCAAGAAACCCATCGTCAGTTAACTAAATAATTCTGCAAGTGTTGCAAATTGTTTGGCGAAATTAGTAACAGTGACAAGTCTATAATGGCTACCTCGAGCCTCATGCAAAGGAGAATTTGGAAACCGATAATTGGGATTTTCATGATGTGGCCGCCGACATCTTGTAAGCCACACGTTCTATCCTGTGAATGTTCCTCGGAAGATACCACTAAGCCACTGTTCCAGTCCAGATATCTTGTAGGAGTAGAAGATGAGCTTTCTCCTCTGGTTTCAGAATCTCTATGAATTACTGGATTAGACCATTTTGTGCAAACAAGAAACGCAAAGCACTCAGCAATCCTACAGAAGTACAAAATCAGCCAACACTCGGAAATGAAATCTGATGATGTAGTTGTCAAAGTATGAGATGTGTTTTAGGTTGAAATGATACCCATAATTTATGAACAAGTCCCACCAGCCAAGGGCTCCAACATCACCTGCAATGTCGAAATTAAGAAACATCATAAACCATTATTACAAAATAAATACGGAAAAACCTCATCACTTATGCGGTATATGGTAAGCATCTTTGACAGAGGAAATACGAGTTGTATGAACTCAAGTGTAAAACCCAAATAACACAAATTCAATTGTACATAGATATAACAACCATTACAAGCCTCACAGGAAACCACAAAGCCTTTTTACAGCCAAAAGCATGACATCTTATTGCAGAATGCTCATAAAAATAGGAAAACTTACGTCCGACTAACGCATGCGTGAATATAAAATTGAGAAAAACCAATATATGTCCAGAAAGCAACTCAAGAAACAACTCTAGGATTTAAACATGTTTTTGGGATAATAATGAGCAGATAAAACAATTACTATTAGATGCATCTGTGTGCATATTTTTTATCCGGGTCGTGACTGTTGACCAAGTTGGCAGCCCGTTGACCACGAGCCGGTTCCGGTCAGGGTTGGACATGGATCGTGTCTAACTGTATACATAGACGTGCATGCACAGGTTAGATTATTGTTTTGAAAGGCATCACTTGTTGGAAGAAGATAACCTCATGGACTTGAAATACTACTGAGTAATTAGTTTACAACACATTATGGCCCACACATAAAATTAGTCATAAATTTGCAACTAATGTAGTTCCATAAATTCGTCCTTTTTCTCAGAAAAGCCTTTGGGGGCACCAATAATATCCGCGCATCAGCTTTCCTATCCAAACGAAGCAATCAAAATGTAGAGATATGACAAGCAATCAGATATACGTTATTCCTGAAGTTTAAAAGTAAAAACAAGAAGTCAAGTCACAATACTCCAATTTCCTGCATTCAATAGAATCCTCTTTTCTTTGTTTTGTCTTTTTCATTTTCCTCTTCTGATTTATTCCTTTTGATGTGCTCAAACTTTGACCAATATGTATCAAACAAATAACATGTTGATTATACGCTACACACGAAATATTAAAGACGATCCTAGATGAAAATTATGATTAGCAATTTACTGTTAGAGGTCAGTTAAAAATAAAGACATCATTTTGCAGTTTTGTTGCTTCTTCTGAGATTACCATTTGTTATACATAAATATGAGTTACTATCCAAGGGAAGTGTCCTCCGCATAACCACCAAATAAAAGGTTTATTACAAGTCATAGTAACTGCAAGGAAGTTCCAATTCCTCAAAGACTAACTCATCCATCCCATACTTTCACATCTCGACTAGAAAACTTAGGCAATAGTAGAGCAGACTTGAGTTCACCTTTCATTGCATATCTAAAAACCAGAACCCTTTACAAATTAATTATATCTTTAGCCTATAATGAGTCTGTCAAAAGGGATAAAAACCATATTTCTTCACATCGCCTGTATAGGCCAAAATGTCAAATCTTTCTTCATAAGATCATATCTATAGCCCAATAAAGAGTCTGTCCAATGGGATTGAATGCAAATAAGACATATTTACATTTAATCAAAGTCCTCGTAAGACAATCAAACTTGTTGGAAGATCCAGGAGTTCATATTAAGTTAGGTATGGAGGGATTTCAGAAACAGGGATGCAAGTACATACATAAATTCACACAAAAAAATGAGAGAGAAGAGACTTACCACACAGCTTCAGTAGAGTGAACAATGTAGCGGCGAGAAAGAAAACCATTGATATTGCCACCCAGAAGTGCTGGCCACAATAAAAATCATCAATAGAGAATCTTATAATATCTACTAAACCAAATATAAATGAAAGCAATAATATGAAAATTAAACAGTGCCAGACAGGTCCTACATTCATCAACGCGGGACTCAGTATGTACGTCAAGGCCCACAATTAGCACCATAAGTGTGAGTAATATCATGATTTGATGGACTAATTTACTGAATGAAAAGCAATGTATGCCTATCTCCCTTTTTTGGAGAATTCATGCAAATAAGAGTTCAATCGTGTATAGGTCTCTTACTATTCACACTCAAATATCTATTGTATGTTTCACTAAACAGAAGCACCAATCTAAATCTCCTACATGGACAATTGATGTTAAAATCCAAAGAAACTTTGTGGGCTTCCAATAATGTAAGATGTCCCAGTTTCCAGTTTCCAGATTGTAGGATGAAATTGAACAGAGCTTCCTCACTTTTTATACTCGAAAATATTTTTTCTTCAAGTTACTTATTTAAGAATAAAGAACGATGATCACTTGTCCCATACACTTCAAAGAAGAAATTAATATATCTCAGTTGCAACACCATTCACCAAGTAATACTTACAGGAAGTGTCTCCCATATTGCATCATCACTCATGCTTTCATCATCTCCAGGTAATAAAGCCTTGCACATTCTGCATCATCAACGTGAAAGAAAACAAATCATGAACTCGAATAACCTTGTTGGAAAATAACTATTTACCATTGACACTCAGTAAGAGCAGAAAACACCTCCCAAATTATGAGCACATGTTCCACTGTATCCTTTTGTGTATTTCTAAGATTCAAAACTCTAAAGTATTTACTTATTTTTTTCATTCCAGCACCGATTCACTTTGTCGTATACTAAAAGTTTGAAAGACGTTAATTTAATTGTAAACTAATGTGATTTATATATTGTGTAATATTCTCTTTGATGGAAAGAGAATGCCATACCTAAAATTGTCAACAAGGATTACAACTTCAAATGCCAGCAAAGGAAGGAAGACTATTTTCAGGTTCACAGCAGCAGAACCAATAGCTGCGATGTGGAGACACATATATGAAGGAAATTATCAATAGCAACGAAATAAAATTATACCTGAACAAATAGCTCATATTGTCACTCTATCGTCAAGAAAAGGAAGAGAGATTAGAAGCATGAACCAAAAACTTTTCTCGCTAGAATTGCCTCATACCAAACAATCACCACACACTAAACCACAGAATATATTGAGTTAATTCCTGACTGGTACTAAAATCATGGTAGGGGTTTTTTGCTTCCTTACCGTATAAACTCTCGAGATATATACAAAGAAGCAGTTCAAACGCAACAAGCAACGGCGTAGCAACCACAGTATGGCATGGGGCCCACTATGCACAAAGAAAATTAAAATAAAGAAATGTATGAAAATGAGGAATATTTTGGAATATTTTATTAATTGAAAATGTCATAATCATAGCGCATACATGGCGGTCATGAGGAACTGATGGGGCAGGTAGAGAGAATCTTCCACGGGCGACAACTACATGAAACAGCCACAGCGGAAAGAAAATAACCCTGCACGTAAAACCAGATACATGACCAGTGCGAATAAGAACGTAAGCTACTCTTATCACAAATACCAAATAAGCCTTAAATTAGGCATACACATACATGTCCAGTGTCAATATTCTTTTCCAATTGTTAAGAGAAAAAAACATGTGAAACGCATCGAATAAATCTGTTTTACTCCTTTTAAAGTTCAGAATTCAATTATTTGTACTTGCACTCAATCCACCACCGAAAAGGAAAATCCTCGATATAACTTTCAGCACCTTATATATGAAGACCTTTTTGCAAATATATATCTTCCATCAATCAAATCACAAGGAAATCACAGAAACTAGTAAGCTAATGAGAATTCATAAGATCTTCATAAATATTTTCATCAAAATTCAATCAACAGATGAAACCTGGTAAGCAAATGAAAATTCTGATCAACCATAAGACAAAAGTGTCAGCTTTTTCTTTTTCTCATTCCCAGTTTTTCCCAGAATATTTCGTAGAACAGCAAAAAAAAAAGGCGATTTCGCCACACTCAATTCCTCAAATTACATAATCCAACAAAAAAATATTAAATCATACATCATGATTTATAATCATATCAAGCTAAATAAAAATTGGGGGGGAAATAAAAGGGAAACCATACCACCAAGAGTAGGAAACGATGTGATCAAGCTTGAGAACGAGCAAAAGCGTAAAAAAGAATAGGGAAATGTGCGCCGCCACCCCCTGCAGTGATTTTGACACTCTTCTCCAGCTCATATCTCCTCTCTCTCTCTCTCTCTCTCTCTCTCTCTCTCTCACACACACACACACACACACCACACCGTGTAGGGAATAATAGATATACAATTGAATATATATTTATACACGTAGAAAATCACACCGAGAACGAACAAAATACACAAATCAGCTATCAATCTATAAAGATATCGGCAGCAAAAGAAATACCAGATAATTCAGAAAGACTGGATTTTACATTAGGGCACATATAGAATCAACGATTCGGAAACTCTTAATTTTTTCTTAAACGTGAGAGAGATGAAATTGGGGATTAGGGCAAAATCCTATGCATTGTTTGTTGTGAATTGTAATAGCAGAAAAAAACAGAAAAAGGAAAGAGTAAAACCACTGTTCTCTCTCTCTCTCTCTCTCTCGGCTCTCCGATGAGAAGAATTAAATTTTTAAATAAAATTATAGATGGTGGAGAAAATTATACCTTTCCTTTTCCAACTTTATTATTATTATTATTTTATTTATTTTTTATCTCATAATTTCATATAAATTTTTGTCACTATTGCAGCCCACTTTGTTTCATGATTGCATCCAAGCCAAAGGACTTCCTATGTTACCGCTTTTGTTTCATCCCTTTTTGGATCAAGCTCCAAACTTGTTCCTTGTAATTTAGCCCCCACCAATCAGAAAAAACTAAATTACTAATAATAGTATGCAATTAAATTTTACATAAATTAAATTTTAATTTCACTAAGACTTTTTCTTTTGCCATTTTTCTTCATTTAACACATTCATTTCCCTCCCTTCAAATTTATTTTGTTTCTTTTTTGTCCGCTTTGGGAGGCGCTAAATGTCGTCTGAATTTTATTGATATTGTTTCGACTTCAAATATGATTTTGACATTTTTTTTAATTTGAATTTGGTAAAACTCTAAGGACCAAATTTGTTATCAGTTGAATTATCTTTCTAATCAAATTGAATCAGTTAACTTGGATATTGGGTGAGAGAGTTATACGTTAATGATGAACATAAGGTTTTTTCAGATTTGGACCGTAAATGATTCAGGCATAACTCTTTACATACAATCTAATTGATTCAAGTTTAATTACAAACTCAACTCCAATGACTGTATATGATTGCAGAGATTTAGAGGATATTTTCATTTTGTTTTGAAAAAAATGTCTTGGTGGAAGAATTTGAGAATAAAAGTATTGTTCTTTTATAATGTGGGAGGATATGGAGATTATTATATCTTTCGAAGCATGTCAAAATGTTGAAAATGATATTTTAGAAAAGCAGCTTGAAAAATAAAGTGATTTTTATTTGTTTAGTTAGTAAAACAATCAGTCACATGTTTGAAGGAGAGATACTTTTTGAATGATATATATAAAAAAAGAAAGAAGGAAAAAAAAAACTCGAATTTGTTTTAGTGAAATGATGGCAAATTTGGTAAACCAAGCCAAGAACTATGCAGCGGGTTTTGAGTAGTGCCAAGTTCGAACTAAAAAAATATTAAACTCACATTTGAAATTATAGTACGTGCAAAACTGAAAACGCTATTTACCATTTTAGTTTTCCTAGTTGATAGAGGAGATGTTTCAAAGAAGTTATACACATTGAAAATGATCGATTGTCAGCATCACACAAAAGTATGGTTAAAGAATGTGAGGATCCTAGGGCTCGTAGTCTATTAGATTGGATATCAATTAAAAAATAGCGTGTTCCATGTGATTACTGGTGAAAGTGATAAATTTAAGGTACTACTACACTTGATTTCATAATTTGTCGAAGAGCCTAAGCCCTAGCCTATGATACCATGCCGACCCTCTATGTGAAGCATTTGTACGCAGAGAAGTGAACTCGACGAATATGGAAATGATGTGATGAAGACGAAGAAAGAATGTTGATTCTCCAATTATGCAAGTGTCTATACGTTGAATTTTCCCTTTCCTTTTATTACTAATTATAAAGGTTAATAGCAAAGAGGTCCATGACAAGAACACTTAATTAAAAAAGGGACATCCAACTTTTTTGTTTTCAAATATTTTCAGCTCACTCAAACTTATTTGCAAATAAGGAAAACCCTTTTATATATACCAAAATTACCCCCAATTCATTGTTACTGCAATTTCATGATTTACACCCCAATTTCACCAATTAACCAATTTTGACTCGCCACCACCGGAGACCGCCGGTCAGCCGCCGTTGACTGCCGGAGACCGTCGGTCTCCGGCGTTGACTTTTTTTTTTTCTTTTCTAAGAAAAAGATTATTTTAATTATTATTAATGTCTTGCTGCTAAATTACTGTCTCCAGCAGTTATTTAATTGTCGTAGTCAGTAATTTAACTGTTAATTGACTTTTTTTTTATTTCTTAAAAAAATTATTTTAATTAATATTACTGTATTGACTGCTAAATTACTGCCTCCAACAGTAATTTAACTGTCGGAGATAGTAAATTAACTGTTAATTGACTTTTTTTTTTTTAATTTTGGTTTTTCTTAAAAAAAATATTTTAATTAATATTACTGTCTTGGCTGCTAAATTACTGTCTCCAACAGTAATTTAACTGTCGCATATAGTAATTTTACTGTATTAATTAATTTTATCGTCTTGGCCTGCAATTTTGCTGTCTTCAACGTAATATTACTGCCTCCGACCGTAATATTACTGCCTCCGACCTTAATATTATTGTCTCATGCAATAATATTATTGTTTGGGACAATAATATTAGTAATATTATTGTTCGGAAAAATAATATTCATAATATTATTGTCCCAAACAGTAATATTACTGTCTGAGACAGTAATTTAGTAGCCAAGACAGTAATATTTTTTCGAAGAAAAAAATAGAAACCAACGCCGGAGACCGGCCGGAAAAAAAATTTCAAAAAAAAAAGTCAACGCCGGAATCTGGCTGGAAAAAAATTCAGAAAATAAATTTTATTTTCTGAAAAAAAATATTTTTTCAAAAAATTATTAAAATGATGGTTAATGTGATATATTTGTTTAAATCCGGGTCAATGTGTAATATTGAGAAAGCTAGAGTGTAATTGATGGAATTGATAAAAAATATATTATGAAGGGTATTTTAGACTAAAGACATGGAGATGGATTTATTTGAAAGACTATTTTTTTTTTGACCAATGTGTATTTAAGTCCATTGTCATGTCCCTCTTTCAGATTTACCCTAATTATAATCCTATCTCAACCTAATTACACATCATTGGATAATTGAGAAATCCTAAGATTATCTCTTTTAATAAGTTTAAGGGGATGTTACAACTACGATAAGGAAAATATTTTTTGACACGGATATATTTGTACGACTTACTATACTCGTTACCTACTATTCTAACATCTGGCTTTAAAGGACAAAAATGGTAATACATTTTTTCGTTACAAAAATCTTTAGGGATGATACACAGACCTTTTATAACGTATAGTTCCCGACAATCTTTTTTGAGTTCCAGCGAGAGCCTCCAACTTTGAATAGCTACTTTTCGGTGATTTTTATCTTAAACTAAATTTTATGCGGTGAACTTCGACAATCCTGCTCGATCATATTCTTTTAGTGCCGAAACGGCTCCTTTACCATCAAAGTCGCTTGACAGTTCATCCATTTACATCTACTTTGTCGTCGAAAATAGTCCTCGACACAAATTTTGACACACATATCCCATCGATTGAGACCATTTTGTGTTCGGATGGTATGAGCTTCTTTATTTTCCAAATGATGAAATTGATCATTTGGCATTTCCCAAACAGCTTTTTGTTGTCAAATTTTTTCCCAAAGTCCTCCAAACTTATGAGATTTTAATGTGATTGAAGTTTCTAATGTGATTGAAGTTTCTTGGGACAAATTATTGCAGTAAAAGCGTTCGAGAATACAACAACAATGGAAACTTCATTTTTTCTTAAAAAATAATAAAATTCGTCATAAATATATACAACGCTTGAGTACTTTGATAAAAAAAAGTACTCGCTTCGTTCCTAAATAATTGTTACTTTTCACTTTTCACAAAGATTAAGAAACTCAATAAATATATCTTGATTTTAGAAAAATCATATAAAAATGACTAAAACAACATTTAATATTTAATGATTTATAAGAGAAAATTAATAAATAGAGTTTCATTAATAAGGTTAAAACAGGAAAAATGCATTTAATGCAGTATTGGAAATCTAAAGTGACAGATAATATGGAACAAAAATATTTTTAAAAAGAGACAGTTAATGTGGAACAGAGGAAGTATAATCATATCAATAGAAAATGTGCATAAGGGTAAAACTGGATATTGTAGTTTGGTCAAAATGTATCATCATGTTACATAGAACATGTATATAATGGTCAAATTGAATATTTAAAACGATTATTCTTTGTAAAAAAATGAATATGGTAAGAGTGCTTGTAGTCTTAAGTCTTAACCAATAAAAGAAAAGAAAAAAAAAAGGAAAAGAAAATCAGGAGACAAACCGGGCAGCAATTGGCAACACGCGACCCGCCATCACCCAAAAAACCGCCATTTATTCCCGCCAATCGCCATCGTGTTAAAAACTCAGGTTTTCCAACATTCTACAGAGTACCAGTAGTGTATATGCAAATTGACACGCAAGAGTTCTAGTTCTAACAAGAGAGGAGAGAAACAACGAGTATCAGTGATAATTTCGTCGTCGAAATTAAAATGGGCGACAATTTTGAGGAGCAGAATAAGCTTCCCGAGCTCAAACTCGGTACCCCCAAACCCTTGTTTTTAATTTTTCTTTTTTTTTTTTTTTTTTTTTTTTTTTTTTTAGATTTCGTGCTAATATCAGAATTAATTTAAATTTAATATGTCGTAGATGCCAAACAAGCTCAAGGGTTTCTTTCGTTCTTCAAAACCCTACCCAATGTAAGCATTTCGTTTTTGATTTTTTTTTCTTCTGTAGTTATATTTTATATAATAATGGAAAAAATAATGATTGGAATTTTAACTTGCTTCTGATATTTGCAGGACCCTAGAGCTGTTCGATTCTTCGATCGTCGGGTTAGCACCCTTTCTAACCCTCCCTTTTGAAATGTAGTAGAGTGATGATGATTCTTGACCTACATAGATAATATTATTTTTTGAAGTTTTTTATGAAAAAATAATCAGATAACATCAGTCTTATCAATAGCAACAAACGGGTAGATTGTTTTTTCCATAACCTATTTATTAAGTTTTTCTAGAAGAAACTGTGTATGTATAAGACGACAAGAAATAAGGGTCATAGTTCTATTTGCCAACCATATCTCCGTATTAAGCGGTTTCTATTGTGCCTAAAGGTTTTTTTTATACGGATGTGTTTCGGCTTCTGTGTATTTAAAAGGATTATTTCCAGTATTAATGATTTCACATAATTTGTAAATGAAAATGTTACTTAATTTGATCGGTAAGTTATGTGAGAATGATATGTATGCCTGCGTTTATTTATGTTAAGGCTGCCGTCTTTTGGTTTTAATTAGTAGAATAACTTGTCATTTTCTTTCCCAGGACTATTATACCGTGCATGGTGAGAACGCAACTTTTATTGCAAAGACATATTACCACACTACAACTGCTGTTCGACAAATAGGAAGTGGATCTGATGCCATTTCCAGTGTTAGTGTGAGTAAGAATACGTTTGAAACAGTTGCCCGAGACCTTCTTCTGGAGAGGACTGACCACACTCTCGAATTGTACGAGGGCAGTGGATCAAACTGGAGACTTGTGAAGAGTGGGACCCCTGGAAATTTAGGCAGCTTCGAAGAAATTCTTTTTGCTAATAATGAAATGCAAGACTCTCCGGTGATTGTGGCTGTCGTAGCAAATTTTCGTGAAAATGGATGTACTGTCGGATTGAGCTATGTTGATCTTACTAAGAGGGTGCTTGGATTGGCAGAGTTTCCCGACGATAGCCACTTCACTAATTTGGAGTCGGCCCTCGTTTCTCTGGGTTGCAAGGAATGCCTTTTGCCCGTGGAGCTTGCCAAATCTAGTGAATATAAAACACTAAACGACGCGCTGTCCAAGTGTGGTGCAATGGTGACTGAAAGAAAGAAATCGGAGTTTAAAGTGAGAGATTTGGTACAAGATCTTGGTAGGCTTGTGAAAGGTTCTACAGATCCTGTAAGAGATCTACTCGGTGCATTTGAATTTGCACCCGGGGCTTTGGGGTGTATAATGTCGTACGCGGAACTTGTTGCTGATGAGAGCAATTATGGTAACTACAAGATCCAAAGATACGATCTCGATAGTTACATGAGATTAGATTCTGCTGCCGTGAGGGCATTAAATGTCATGGAGAGCAAAACCGATGCCAACAAGAATTTCAGCTTATTTGGTCTTCTCAATAGAACGTGTACTGCGGGTATGGGGAAGCGGTTGCTGCACATGTGGCTGAAACAACCTTTGTTAGATGTAACGGAGATAAACTGTAGGCTGGATTTGGTACAGGCTTTTTTGGAGGATACTGCCCTACGCCAAGATCTGAGGCAGCATTTGAAAAGAATTTCGGATATGGAACGACTTGTGCGCTCTCTCGAGAAGAAACGAGCAAGCCTAGTTCATGTTGTTAAGCTTTATCAGGTATCCTCTACTTTATTATCGAATAAATGATTTTCGCATTAACCTACAGTTGCATTTTCTAAATTGTTATTGTTAATTATCCCAGAGCATATACGATTTACTGGTGGTTTATTTTGCATGCAGTCAAGCATCAGGGTTTCATTCATCAAAAGTGCGTTAGAGCAGTACGATGGCCAGTTTGCTTCATTGATGAAGGAGAGATATTTAGATCCTCTAGAAAACTGGACCGACGATAAGCATTTGAATAAGTTCATTGGTCTTGTGGAAACTTCAGTTGATCTTGATCAACTTGAGAACGGCGAATACATGATTTCATCGAGTTACGATTCACATTTAGCGTCTTTAAAAGACGAGCAAGAATCTCTGGAGAATCAGATACAGGATTTGCACAGAAAAGCAGCCAACGATCTTGATCTGGCTATCGATAAAGCTCTAAAACTAGAAAAGGGGATACAATATGGATATGTGTTTAGGATTACCAAAAAGGAGGAGCCAAATGTAAGGAAGAAGCTGAATACCCACTTTATTGTACTTGAAACTCGCAAGGATGGGGTTAAATTCACAAACACAAAGCTTAAGAAACTAAGTGACCACTACCAAAAGGTAGTTGAGCAATATAAGAGCTGCCAGAAAGAATTGGTCGCCCGAGTAGTGCAAACTGCTTCAAGTTTTTCCGAGGTATCTATCTTGCATAATTCCTACTTTAACTGCCACCGACATTCTTCTGCATTATTTTTTTTTTTAATCACTTATTCTTCTGCATTAGTTATGATAGTGATGGTGGCCTTAACTTATAGTACTCTAATGATTTCCCAGAGGGGATGCCCTTTTGTTGTTTTTGTTGCTTTACTTACTATTGTTCTTGTAATTGATTATGCTTTCTTTGGGTAGGTGTTCGAAGGATTAGCTTGGTTGCTCTCTGAATTGGATGTTTTACTTGGTTTTGCTGATTTGGCCGCTAGCTGTCCCACTCCTTACACACGACCAGTCATCACTCCATCAGTAAAAATTAATTTATCATTTAATATCATTTCAAGAAATAGGAATGTGCTTTTTTTCATGATCGATCATGTTTCTTAGGACGTCGGAGATATTATTTTGGAAGGGAGTCGGCATCCTTGTGTTGAAGCTCAAGATTGGGTGAATTTCATCCCAAATGATTGTAAACTAGTAAGTTCTCGTAAAATATGGAGATGAACTACCTTATGCAGCCAATTTTAACTTGGCCATTGCCTACTTTTGTTGGTTCTTACAGGTCAGGGGAAAAAGTTGGTTCCAGATTATCACAGGACCAAATATGGGTGGAAAATCAACGTTCATACGACAGGTCAACCACATTTTCTTACTGCTCTGTGCACAAGTATTAGTTGATGAGGCTTAAACTTAATTTTTATAGTTTCAATTCCGACTCACTATAGAGATGTACTTCTGTAGCTATCGAATTATATTATTAACGTGCCAGCTAAAACATGCAACAGTAGAAAAAAACAACAATAATATCTCTTATTCATGTGTTCACCTTTTTAAGAATGTGTGAGGAGCTCTAACTCCATATCGGATCATTTTTCCCTGGTAATAAAAATCATGGTTCACTTCTTTCTCGATATTCTAACTATATCAATGAGTTAGCTATTGTTATGATTTCAAGAGTTCCTAATGCAGAGCATTTTGTAAAATTTCCAATTCAAATAGGTCTACCTCTTTGTGCACAGGTTGGTGTAAATATTTTGATGGCGCAAGTTGGTTCTTTCGTCCCTTGTGACAATGCTGTAATTTCTATACGTGACTGCATTTTTGCTCGTGTGGGTGCTGGTGACTGCCAGGTAAGCCCATCAGCCTTTGTGGAATTGAACTTATTACTGTTGATTAAATTCTTAAAGATAGATTAAAATACTTTTTTAACAATAATAAGGCTGTACTTATAAGGACTGGGCTGTGGGGTGAGGCACCATATGGGTAGTTTACTTTTGTTTTGAAAATGCCTTCGTTCTGTAAATTGACATCTGCATTTAGCACCCCCTTGAGAAAAAGACAAAGTTACTGGTGAAATTTATAGGGCTTATCTAGTTTTATACTCTCGAATCAAGTCACTAGATGTTATATATATATGGGCACGTATGCCCTTTGATAAAGTATTGTTGATATGCTATTTAGATGTCTGTAGAAACATATACTTTACACATGGAAAAATCGTACCACACTTCAATCCATTCAGTCCATCTGTATGTATATATGTAGTAAGTTTTTATCAACATAATTTTTCTGATAAGAAATAAGTTAGCGTATAGAGAAGTTCTCAGAAGGTTCTTTCCTGCAACTTCTTGGTTCATCTGCCTTTCGCATTTCATAGTTCCTAATAGATTTTTCATTTATTATAGGGTAACTACGCTGAGCCGGAATTTAGTGCTATAACCAGATGTTTTCTTCTCTTCTACTTAATTTGAGGGGCATCTTGTGTTGAGTGGGTATAGAAAATATTGAACTTCTGTATGTTACTATCATAAGAATGTACCCTCCGTTAGCTTAATTTTGGCACGGTCTGGAATAAAATCCCATTCTGTGTGGTTTTCCTCTTACTTTCATGCTCCAACATCTTACCTTTTCCTGTCTGCTAGTTACTTCCATGTACAAAAGTAATAGGTTTTTATTATTTGCGAAACGGATGCATACTATAGGGATTTTTCTGACATTTTCTACTTCATTTTTTGCCTCCTTGTATAGCTACGTGGAGTTTCGACATTCATGCAAGAAATGCTCGAGACTGCATCTATCTTGAAAGGAGCAACTGAGAGGTCATTGATAATAATTGACGAGCTAGGTCGTGGTACATCGACATATGATGGATTTGGTTAGTTTCACATCTTTCCAAATGTTGATCTATTATCTAATCAGCCCTTTGCACCCGCACCCGACCCAATACTTAAGCACAAGATATAAAGATATTAGACACCCAAATGTACGCATATTTTTCATTTGTTTTGTCATGAAAACACACACTTCTGCATGTTTTACATTTCGTTTTCCATGCAAAGTTCTGTTTTAGATTCGGTTTACGTGTTATCGGAAGTGATGAAATAGTGTAAATAATGCAGATAATGATGTTGGACTGTTTTACTTATTTTTTTGTAGAAGAAGTATTTGTAAGTGATAGATCTCAAGTACGGAATAATCAGCAATTGGATCACTAGAACAAATAGTGTCAAACATCTGTATAAATATTGGGAATCATTACATACATGTTCACTTGTATATGAGTGAACGGTGGCCTAATGATTCCCATGAATTAAGTTTAGATACGGTCATACATTTTATAATCCATATAAGCATGCACTTGTTTGGAACTTAGACTTATCGGTGATAAAATAGTTGAAACTTATGTTATGAAGTTGAAACATCAATGATTAACTATGGATACATTTTAATGTGTTTTATTATAAAAAAGACGTAGGTAACCTGTGTGACAAAATAATCATTGTGGGATTGACACGACATTTTGCTTCTATCTTGTCTTTCCATTTCCTTGAAGCATTTTGAAGCTTCCTTCTGGTTTATTTACTGTTCGATATATTTCTTGCAGGCCTAGCTTGGGCAATTTGTGAGCACATAGTTGAAGAGATAAAAGCACCTACACTGTTTGCAACTCACTTTCATGAGTTGACTGCTTTAGCACACGACTATACTGGTGATGAGCAGTCCTCGAAGAAACTTAAGGGAGTAGGTAATTGCCATGTGAGCGCGCACATTGACTCATCGAGTCGCAAGCTTACCATGCTTTACAAGGTCTCTCTCTCTCTCTCTCTCTCTCTCTCTCTCTCTCTCTCTCTCTCATTATACATGGGATTATATATGCGAATACACACACATACACAAAAATTTATGTACATTTTTCTTTTCTGAAAGAAGAAAAAATAGATCATACTGAATGCAGCTAAAAGGTAAAATCCACAAATCAGATAAATCAGAAATAAATCATATATATTTGAGTAATCGTTTCAATTTAATTAGCCCATGACATCAACTCAGACTAAGTACTTAATTTATAGTCTAATTAGTAAGATGGTGGTGATTTATATGTATATACTTTATTATTATGGAGTTAATGTTTAAGCTGCTTGTTCTTATTTTGGCTCATTTATTAACAGTGTTATCTTTGTTGTATGTGTCGCTCTTCTTTTTTAATAGGTTGAACCAGGGGCGTGTGATCAAAGTTTCGGTATACACGTTGCGGAATTCGCTAAATTCCCAGAAAGTGTTGTCGCCCTTGCTCGAGCAAAGGCTTCCGAGTTGGAAGATTTCTCGCCCAAAGAGGTATTTTCTTTTACTAAGAATATCCCGGGGATAAAAGATAATAGATCTTTTATCATGCAATTATATATTTCTTTTCTTCGATTTTGCTAATTATAATTGGCCTCGATACTCAGATTGGATCTAAACGAAAGCGAGAAGCGGACCCTGATGATGTAAGCAAGGGTATCGATCGAGCTCGCCAGTTCTTGAAGGACTTCTCCGAGTTACCACTAGACAAGATGGAATTGAAGGAAGCCCTACAAAACGTCGGCAAATTGAAAGAGGGCTTAGAGAAGGATGCAGTTAACTGTTCTTGGCTTCAGCAATTCCTCCGATGATGTAAGCAAAGGGTATTTCATTAAATCGGGTAACTTTTTTTGTGCAAATAGATTCAGGCCTTAAGAGAAGCCCACAACACGATTTGGCTTCGTTTTTTGTCGATGGTATTGGATTGGAGTTCAAGTAAGATTATGTATAGTGTTTTCGACCCGAATGAGTTTGGAAAAATCAAATTTTCCCGCTTTTGTGCGTTGCATATTCCCCCGTCCATTGCCACTGAATTTTGCAGCTGCTTCTCAAATGTTGTTGATGTCTTATGCTGAAATTTACTTCTTATAGCTGATTTTATTCGGGCCACTGAATTCTCAGATGGAGATGAGTTCGGCCACGTTTCTTTCTTCGGCCACGTTTCTTTCTGCATATTATTTCTTCTTCTATATTGTACTAGTGTTTTGCCTCGTGGGTTGCACGGGCGGATATTGAAAAAAAATATAAGATAAGCAAAATTAGAAATTAGTAAACATCTATGACATGTACAATAGCAAAATAATGGAACACCGAAAATGTAAAAATTCCACTAATTGCAATCATAATCTATATATCCATTTTAACAATAAAATTTAATACACGAACGTGTGCTATAAAAAATGAGAGAAAAGTTAGTGCTGGAAGGAAAAAAAAAAGAAAAAAAAAAGAAGAAAGAAAGAAAAACAAAATAATTAAAAAAACATGTCCTATAAAAAATAGAGAAAATTTAGTGCTTGAAGAGGAAAAAAAAGAGAAAAAAATATTTAAAAATAAAAAAATGTGAAAAAATTTGACCGTGTTTAGTGGGGACGAAAAAAAGGAAGAAGAAGAAAAGAAAAAAAACAATTAAAAAAAACCAAAACGTATTTTATAAAAAAAAAAAGAAAAAACAAATAATTTTGAATGTGGTATAAATAAAAAGATAAAATAAAGGAAATAAATATTTCACAAAAATATTTAAAAGAAAAACTGCTTGTAGGGTTTCTGGCAAACCTTTCTTTTATATATAAAAACTTAGTGTAACTCTTATACATAATCGAGATTTACCCCGCCTCTGCGGTTGTTATTTATGTTGGTTTTATTGTGATTAAGGATACAACACAGTAGTACATTGTTGAATTATATTATAGGCCTGTTTGTGCAACCTTTGCACCATAAATGATCTAATTATTCAATTTTTCAAAAAAAAAAAAAAAAAAAAAAAAAAAAATTAAAACAGTATTTAAACTAATCAAACAATAAATAAAACTTGTTTTTATTCCATTACTCCAGGATGGTGAAATTTAGAAGGGGAGGCACTTTGTTTCGGAGTTGCTCAACGGTGCGAGCCCTTACTTCCTTTTCCTCCTTTTCATAAGCTTCCTTAAACTTTAAACTGGGACGAAAAGTATCGTGCGGATCAACAACAATTTTCTCGAGTGAAACACAATTCTCCAATAAATGCATAAAGAATTCAAGATCGCTTGTACGACCATAATATCCCAAAAGCTCTATCTCTTTTAAGTGAACATATTTACTTGTCGAAACCTTTTCCACCTCCCTCTCCACAGCCTCAATTGTGCCGGACCACATTCCCTACAAACAAAAAGCACAACACGAGAATTACAAAATTAGGACAATAAACAAAACAAGATTACGGCAGTCAAATCCAATTTTCAGCTTCTCTACAAAAACACATATCGCTGTTGAAATAAAACTATGATTGATTGATTGATAGATTACCTCGAGTACAAATCTTTGCAAGCAAGGTGATGCACGTATGATATTAGTTAGCGGTAGGAGAGACTGGTCTTCACACAGACGAAATTTCACCACCAATTGCTTAAGATTGCTCATTTTCACAGCTGAACAGAACATTTCAGATACCTACAGAGCCAAAAAAAAAATGAAGGACGAAAAAGGAAAAATAATAATAATCAAGAAATGCCACCGTCGGAGTTGTGAAAGAACATTAATCTTACTTGCCACGAGAAATTGTCTTCTATAACATCTATTGTCAATATCTCCAAGAGCGGAAGCTGGCGAGAGAACAACGAAATGACATCTTGGATATAGTAGGTTAACGCTCCTCCAAGAGACATCTCGACAAGGTGAGGAACACCCTCGAGAACAATATGTATCCTTGGCCCTTCGTAATTCAAACATACAAGATTTGAATCATGGATCTCAATCGAACCTAGTTCTTGACAGTCAATTATTTCCAAGCGTTTCAATGAACGAGACGAGCCATAAATATATAGACTCGAAAGGTCTCTTGACTGAGAAACCGACAAGTTTTCGAGGAGAGGACAATTGCATAACAAGAACTCCAGGGCTTCACCATCCACATCTACACTATCCATTGAGATACTTTTTAGGAATTTGAAGTCAGTCGAATTGCACAGAAGTTCGTTCGGAAAAGAATAATATTCTCCATGTGTATGACAACCGTAAGTTCCTTTTAAGTTCAACTCAAGTGTTTGAACCTTCCTAGCTAAAGCATATCGTATCCATTTTCCAATGTCGTCTTCGTAAACATCATCTAAAGAAAATAACACCTTGAATACCTCAATGTTTGAGTTCTTATGTGACGCTAGTATGTCATTGACCCATTTGACATATGCCGATCTTTTCTGTTTGAGTAACATATTTATTTGTTTTCCTTCACACAACTCCAACTCCAATAAGCTTTCTATACCATCAAATTCTAGTTTAGGTGTGAAGGTCCACAAATATCTCCATCGAGAAGAAAGTATACTAGTGGCGGCTGCCTCCTTCAAAGTCAAGAAGGACAATATATGCACCAATAGATCATCTGGAAGCACACTCATTATATCAATACAAATATGTTGACCTGCACACTGAAATAAAACAATAAACAAAAAAAAAAACAGTAAATTAACCAATGCCAACAGAACAGTCGGATACAAAATGCAATGTCGCTGGAATTTCACAGCCAGATGGAACTATTTTTTAATCAAATGATAAAATACTTTGTTTAACAAAATAAGTTAATAGGTATTGAAATTGTAATACAATATTGCTACAATGTTACAACAATCCTTTATAATTGCAAACGGATGAAAAAAAATGTGGAAAATCTCAAATTAGGGTTCCTCCGTTATTTCCAATCCGGTTCCGGTAACCCGATAACCCTGATCCGGGCCGGCGAACGATGATACTAAGACTAGAAGAGGAAATATACATATAGAATAAGAAGTAACCTTGATGCCTTTTTTTGTGGGAGAAACTCTTTGCCTCTTCTCCATTATCTCGAAATCTTTGAAGCAAAAGAAGGCCTATGTTAGATTGTGATGAATAATGTTGCAACAAAAATATGATAAATCCATTCATCTTTTCACACAAAGAAAAAAACCAATACTTATGTATTGAAAAAAGACGGAATAAATAATCAAATAAAGAATTATTTGGTTATTTGTAGAATCAGTTTGTGCCAAATCAGTAGAGATAGATAGACATACCAGTGTTGTTGCTCCGGTGGGTCGGCAGTTGGTTTCGTAAGAGATCAAATTCGGAGCAGGCTACTGCATGTATGTTCATATAATATTATATATATATTAAAAAAAAATAACGCGAGGCTAAACCTTATTTTTGTTATAGAATAAACTATAATAACTCAAGTATGTGTATATATATTACACGAAGGAAATAATATATGTTGAAAGTACTATTGAACTACTACAGAATATAAACGAGAGAGAGAGAGAATAATTGCTGAAGAAATTTTTTGTATATCTTCATTTCACTTGATCAATACTTCTATATATACAATGAGGCATAAAAGCCTTGTCATGCTAAAGACATAGAAAAAATGACACGTAACATAAGCCTTTGAATACTTAGTCCATAAGATAAGGACTAGATATATATATTATAATACTCCCCATTGGACTAAGTATTATTGATAACGGCTATAAAGTGGATGAGTGAAAATATATGTATGCCTCGTTAAAAACCTCAAGCCGGAAAACCCAGTGGGACAAAACCGGTCAGAAGGGAAAAAGAGTGCATAACTCAATCCAAGCCGCGTGCATAAGCTGCCTCGTTAAAAACCTTTGCTGGAAAACCCAATGGGACCAAAACCAGTCAAAAGGGAAAAAGAGTGCAGCGCACTATTGCTCCCCCTGAAATGAGCAATATAGGTTCCGGAATGGGGCGTCAATCTTGCTTCATATTGGCTCTTCTCATTCCAATGGCGTATACCAACTTCTCAAAAGTAGAAGTCGGTAAGGACTTTGTAAATAAATCAGCAAGATTGTCGCATGAGCGAACTTGTCGAACATCGATCTCTCCATTCTTCTGAAGCTCATGTGTATGGAAGAACTTTGGTGATATATTTTTGGTCCTATCACCTTTTATGTATCCGCCCCTTGTTTGCGCTATACAAGCAGCATTGTCTTCGTAAATGACTGTGGGCGTGTCTGTAACTGGATGTAATTGGCAGGAATTTCGTACATGCGAAATAACGGATCGTAGCCAAACACATTCTCTCCCTGCCTCATAAAGGGCTATTATTTCAGAATGATTTGAGGAGGTGGCCACCAATGTCTGTTTGGTAGATCGCCAAGATATACCTGCACCATTATAACAAAACAAATATCCAGTTTGTGAGCGAGCTTTATGGGGATCAGATCTATATCCCGCATCGGCATAACCAACTAACCCTTGGTTAGTTGCATTCTTTGAATAAAATAATCCCAAATCTGCAGTACCACGGAGATATCTAAAAATATGTTTAACACCATTCCAGTGTCTCCGGGTAGGCTCAGAACTGTATCGCGCAAGCACATTTACCGCAAAAGCGATATCAGGTCGAGTGCATTGTGCTAAATACATTAACGCTCCGATAGCATTTAGATACGGCACTTCAGGGCCAAGTATCTCTTCATTAAATTCCTTAGGTCGGAACGGATCCTTTTCAGGATCTAAATTGCGCACAACCATAGGGGTGCTCAATGAATTGGAGTTTTCCATATTAAACTTTCTGAGCAATCGTTTAGTATATGCAGATTGGTGTATAAGTATGCCGTTATTTTTATGCTCAAGCTCAATACCAAGACAGAGTTTGGTTTTTCCAAGGTCCTTGACCTCAAATTCTTTCTTTAAATAATCAGCAGCATTGGCCAACTCTTCAGGAGTGCCAATGAGGTTCATGTCATCTACATAAACCGCAATAATAGCAAATCCGGTTTCTGATCTTTTAATAAAAACGCATGGGCAAATAGGATCATTTTTATAACCTTCCCTGATAAGGTATTCACTCAATCTATGATACCACATGCGACCGGATTGCTTTAGACCATACAATGATCTCTGTAATTTGATTGAGTGCAGCTCACGAGGAGCGCCAGAGTTTGGCATTTTAAATCCATCGGGAATTTTCATATAAATATCAGAATCTAGTGAACCATATAGATAGGCCGTTACAACGTCCATTAGACGCAGGTCCAGTCCCTCTTGGACGACCATATTGATAAGAAAACGGAAAGTGATCGTATCCATCACTGGTGAATACGTCTCATCATAATCAATCCCAGGCCGCTGGGAGAAACCTTGAGCTACAAGGCGGGCTTTATACCTTACAATTTCATTGTTCTCGTTCCTCTTACGGACAAATACCCATTTATACCCAACGGGCTTTACATTATCCGGAGTTTGAACGATTTGCCCAAATAATTTCCGTTTTTCTAGGGAAGCCAATTCAGATTTTATTGCTTCCTCCCATTTAGGCCAATCATTTCTTTGGCGGCATTCCATTATGGAACGCGGTTCACTATCATAATCATCGTACATTATTTCTTGTGCAACCGAGAATGCAAAAATATTATCGATGATTATCTCATATCTATCCCATATTTCATTGCAAAAACTTATGGGATTCTCGGTATTCCCGGGATTTGATATCGCTTTTTCGATATCAGGCTCAACAGATTCATCTGGAGCATTCTCACTAGGAACCACTTGGTTCGAAGGTTCATCAATTTTCCCCTTTCTTTTTCTAGGAACAACGTCCTTTGATCCAATTGGTCTACCCCATTTTTGTCGTGGGGGATCATCATTCATTTTCACATGTTCTTCAGGAACAGCGATCCTAGCTGGAACATTCACAGCTGGAATATAAGACTTCGTAACTTTACTGGCATCATTAAATGCATCAGGAAGTCTATTGGCAATATTTTGTAAATGAATGATTCTATGGATCTCATTTTCACATTCAGAGGTACGTGGGTCGAGATGAGATAAATGTTGCTCACACCATGTGAGATTCTCGATTGGTTTTTGTTTATCATTATCACGGATATTCTGAATATCCTTACCAATCGGTATAAATAATGTCTCATCAAAATGACAATCCGCAAATCTAGCGGTAAATAAATCACCCGTCATTGGTTCCAAGAACCTAATAATCGACGGTGAATCAAACCCAACGTATATGCCAAGTCGGCGTTGGGGACCCATTTTAGTCCTCTGAGAAGGAGGAATTGGCACATGCACAGCGCAACCAAATGTGCGAAGGTGCGAAATATCGGGCTCAAAGCCTAATGCCAATTGCATTGGGGAATGCATATGATAAGCAGTTGGGCGTAATTTAATCAGTGCTGATGCATGCAATACTGCATGGCCCCATGCTGCACTAGTGAGTTTAGATCTCATCAGCAAAGTACGAGCAATTATTTGGACGCGTTTAATCAGAGATTCCGCCAGTCCATTTTGAGTGTGAACGTATGCTACTGGGTGCTCGACATTTATTCCCAGTGCTGCACAATACTCATCAAAAGTTTTTGATGTAAATTCTCCGGCATTATCCATTCTTATGTTTTTAATGGGATAATCAGGGAAATGTGCTCGGAGTTTAATAATTTGTGCTAGCAAACGCGCAAATGCAACATTTCGCGTAGATAATAATCATACGTGGGACCATCTACAAGATGCGTCCACCAAAACCATAAAATATCTAAATGGCCCACTTGCAGGGTGTATTGGTCCACAAATATCACCATGAATACGTTGTAAAAATGATGGTGATTCATAACCGACCTTTTCAATGGAAGGTTTTATAATGAGCTTTCCTTGTGAACATGATTCACAGAAATATTCATTGGACATCAAGATTTTTGTATCTTTTAATGGATGTCCTTTAGTATGTTGTGCAATCCTACGCATCATAGTCGTTCCTGGGTGACCCAGTCGATCATGCCATAACCCGTGTATATCGGGATTAACAAGTTTCCATGGCATAGTGGCGTAGGATTCGAAAGCTCGAATTTGGACACAATACAGTCCAGAAGCTGTCGCTTCGAACTTCTCATGAACAATTCTTTTGTCCATGACATATGATGTGACGCATAGACACTCCACGGTATTTTCAACCAGTGTCTCTAAATGATACCCATTTCGTCTCACATCTTTAAAACTCAGTAGATTCTTGTTCGATCTACCGGATATCAGTGCATTTTCAATATGCAAAGTGGTACCATTAGGCAACACAATTGTTGCATTCCCGGAGCCATCTATTATTTCCGCGGAACCTGCAATGGTTTTAACTTGTGCCTTGCACAAAGTCACACTCGAGAAATATATTTTATTATTGAATATTGAGTGTGTAGTTGCACTATCGAGTAGGCAATAATCATATTTGTCCATATTTTTCATGTACGTGTATCAAAATCAGCTCGACCTCGGGTATTTATCCTCCAAGGGAGATATGTACATGTGGGTTTATTCAAATCAACTCAATCTTGGGAATCACACCTTCCAAGAGAGATTTATATACAGTGGGTACAAAATAACCCAAAAACCCTTTAAATTTGGACTTGTGATCAATAGCCTCTAAGTTGGCTCTTGACGGGTTTTACCTCGTCTATGAAGAGTTTCAGAGT